TTTAGGTTCCTTCTCTCCTTGATTAGTTTCCATCCATTGCTTCTTGTCCTACCTTCAGGTGCTTTGCAGAATAGCTTGACTCTTTCTTCTTTGTGGCAACCTGAGATATTGGACCACTGCTATCATGTCTCCTCTAGTCCTTCTTTTCATTAGACTAGACATAGCCAGTTCCCGCAACTGTTCTTTATATGTTTTAGCCTCCAGTCCCCTAATAATTTTTCTTGCTTTTCTCTGCACTCTTTCTAGAGTCTCAACATCTTTTTTACATCGTAGTGACCAAAACTGGAAGCAGTATTCCAAGTGTGGCCTTACCAAGGCATTATAAAGAGGTATCTATCCCTGTGTTAATGCAGCCTAGAACAAGTTGGCTTTTTGGCAGCTGCAGCACACTGCTAGCTCTTATTTAAATGATTCCCCCCCCCCCCAAAAAACCAATCCAATCAGATCTGATCATATCTATATAAAAAATAACTATTGTGCAAATTAGCATCCTCCAAAGCAGTCACCTATTTGTTAAGTAAGTTTATGTGAATAATTTATTTGGATAAGAAAAGGTTCCAATGCTAGAAGATGTAATCATAGGATTGAAAATAATGGTTTTGGTTATGAATATTGTAAAGATAATCACTTTTATATCCCTTAAAGCCAATACTGAAAACACCTTCTATTAAAAAAGCTAACAAATCTTCAACTCTGCTGTTCAAGCAAGAAATAGCTGGAGGGTGGGAAGAAGCATCTGTTGTTCTCTAAAAACATTTGCACAAAAGTGAATAGAAATCAACCTATGGCTCCATTGTGTGCTAGTATTCCCACTTCTGTCCACAATGAAAAATTAACTACTGTAACAGGAAGACTTCCCTATTTATTTATATTCTCTGCACAACTTAGAAACCCAATCTTTCATATTCTGAAAAAGTATAAAGAAATTGAACAATTAGAACCAGGTCACCACTGTGAGAACAACTACACAGCCCTGTTTGACCTTGAAAAAGCTAGAGGGTCAAACCTAATTAGTACTTGAATGAGACAAAGAAGGCCAAGGTTTTCAGATATTCAGCCAAAATGTAAAGGGCCACAAGAACTAGAGGACAAAATTTGATAGAGCAGGGGTCTCTAACCTTGGCAATTTTAAGACCTGTGGACTTCAACTCCCAGAGTTCCTCAGCCAACTGGCTGAGGAATTCTGGCAGTTGAAGTCCACAAGTCTTAAAGTTGCCAAGGTTGGAGACCCCTGTGATAGAAGACAGGGCCAAAAATTGATCTTAATCTTTCTTCTGAGAGATTCTGATTGTAAGAATGATACATTTCAAAGAATAAAAAAAAAACAAGTTAGCTAGATTTTATCAAAGATGAAAAACTATTGCCTCACTCTCTCTTTCTCAGCATATTTTCCATTTCTTTAGATATTTGCAGAAAGCTAGGGATTATATCAAATACTATTCAAGGAGATTTGTGCTCATGGAGTGGGCATTCCCAAATTCCTTCTGTTCTGCTCCCATTCCCCAAATTTGCTTCAGAAATTTCTCCAATCCACAAATATAAAGAACACAAAAGAACATATTAGGAAACTGACTCCACAAGCTTATTCTGTTATACTGGGTTTTACTGAAGCAATTTATTTAGCAGGAGTATTTTGAATAATGTTAAGAGAAGCTCAGTCATTGACAATATAACCAGCACATAGATTCCCTTTTTATCTCTATTACAGTGCTGCCTGTATGGTGCTCATTGTTCTCAAACTGAGAGCATTTTCTCCACAAAGAATCTTAACAAGTGAATAGCACTTTATATAAAAGGGCTTCATATACTTGAAACAGAGGCATCAAACACTGAAATGCAAGTTTAGAACTGAAGACATGGTTCTGCTTCAGGACATTTAAGGCCAAAGGAGAAACAATATACACACAAAGCAAATCTGGACAAATGCAACAGAAAACCTTCAATTTCAACACATCTCAAATACTTTTACCCAATCTGTTCATTTCCCAATCAGTGCAACCATCACCCAGAGATTAAGCTTAGGATCCTTGGCCTGAAAAATATTGGTCTACAATCCTAATCCGATACTCTAGTTCCTTCCCATAAGAATAATTAGCCAGGACTAAGGATCATTTACACTGCTGTTTAGAACAAATCAAGATTATGACAAACACCCCAAAAGCTATTTACAACCTGATTTTAAAGTTCTAGTGTGGTTTCCCCCTACAATCACATAACCACATTTTGGGCACTTAGCAACCAGCCTGTACCACATTTTTTGGAGTATAAAACACATTTTTCCCACCCCCAAAAATGGATGGAAATGTGTGTGCATCTTATACTGCAAATATTGTCAAAGCCCCACCCACCTGGCAGTCCCCACCCTTTGGCCTCTGTCTCCCAGCAATTTGCCTCTCTGCAGCAAACAGACTGGTCAGATTCAGCACAGTCTGATTAGCACAAGCAGCTGTTTATCGGTAGGATCAACTTCCCGACAATTAGCTGTTTCATACTGCAGGGATTGCCAACACCTATTGCCACCTCAGCACACCCCATTTTTGGCCTCCGCATCCCATTTTCAGCTTCCATGCACTCCATTTTTGGCTTTCATGCACCCCATTTTCCACCTGTTCTGATCCCCGCCACTCACAATGAGTGGAAAATGGGGCACGCGGAGACCAAAAATGGGATGTGTAGGCTGAAAATGGGGCGTGCAGAGGCAGCAATAGGCAATTCCTACATCTTGAAAACAGCTGATCATCGGGAGGCTGATCCTACCAACAATCAAGCTGCTTGTGCTAATCAGGCTGTGCTGAAGCTGACCAGCCTGTTTGTTGTTTGCTGCAAGGAGACAAATTGCTGAGAGACAGAGGCAGATTGTTTCCCCCCTTGTTTTCCTCCCCAAAAGCTAAGTACATCTTGTAATTTGGAGCATCTTATACTCCGAAAAATACGGTATTTACAGCCATTTGCATTACTGTATAGTCACATGATTGCTACTTATGATGGCTTTATTGGAAACTGATGTTTACTTCCTGTTTCCAGCAAAAATGTATCATAGCAAACAATGGGTTTGCTTAACAACTGCCATATTTGCTTTAATATGAAAAATGTCATAAAATTGGATCTGGTCAGGTGGTACAACTGTCACAACTTACCACAGTAATTGCCAGGCCCAACTACGGTTGTAACACAAGGACTACTTATATTGATTGGTTTTTGGCTCTGTCTGATTTCAAAGTGACTCAGGGCAGCTCCTAATATAAAACAGAATACAAACACAGTAGCACAAAAAAAAAACCCATAGAAACAATATCACATTAACATAAATACAAAAATAGCAATTCCTTCCAACAAAGTGCGTTCAGTCTACCTTTACATTAACTTGGAAGTCTCCCAGAGTCACCTTATAGGGGAGATGGGCAGCATAAAAAATTTAATCAATAAATAAATACCCTGAGGCCTGACAAATCTTTCAGGCCTTCCTGAATGGCCTCAAGATAATAAAAACTTTCCAGATCTCAGGGATACCCTCATTCCAGAGGGCAAGTTCTGTGACAGAGAATCAGAGGGCCCAGAGCACGCTCTTATTGTCCAGGCTTCTTTTGTCCACAGAAGATAAGCAGTTCCTCAAATAACTAGGCCCATGCCATGTAGTGTTTTTTAAGTAATAATCAGTACCTTGAATTACACCACAAGCATACTGGCTATCAGTATAAATGCTGAAGCAGGGTGTCACCTGGCCATGGCAAGTTAGCTCTTTACCAGTCTCATGCCACTGCATTCTGTACCAGTTGGAGTTTCTGAATAATATTCAGTGACAGTTCCATACAGAATGCATTGCAATAGTAAGGCCATGAAGTGACAAGGCACCTGTAGAGTAAATTACAGTAGTAAATGTAGGTGGTGACAAGGACATGTGTGACTATGTGGAGGGGTACCCAAAGCAGGATGTGGCACAGCTGGCATCTCATTCTGAGCCAAAAGGCAAAGCTACCACCCACTTTTCATGGTGAGAGAGACAGGTTATTGAGGTTTTTTGCATCTAATTAACAGTCTGCTGGTGAGTGTCATGTACGGTATTTACATAACTACATCAGCAATAGAAGACAACACCTGAAGGAAGTTGCTTCCAGGCCACAGAATAAATAAAAACAAAAGGGAGGTAGGATGAAATTAATCCAGATTTCTGCAAAGGATGCTCCCAAGCTGTAGTCAAATTCTCAACATTCTAAGTGAAAATAAACACTGGAAAGTCTGGCTTATGTTTAAAAATAAAAAAAAATGGTAACAGTCATAACTAGTGCAACAATGTCTTTAAAATAAACCTTAAGGAGAAAACTTGTTTTTTCCAATTACCCTTTTAGTTACATTTCCTTTCAATTCAGTATGACTTTAAAGCAGACTTGAAAATAATAGTTATTTTATCTGTGCAAACAATTCCATAAGGAAAAATACACTGTTCTGGCTACTACTCTGTGAAATAAGGTCTCACAGCCCAAATGCACCTTCTTTAAGGGGTTCATTTCACCTGGCTCTTCTCCCAGAGCGCTTTGAGAGTCAGCACACCCGGATTTCAATTGGCGACAACTGTTTCAGGGCTTCCAGGAGCGGATCCAGAAGACACCGGTGTTCAAAGATTAAGCACCTGAGCTATCGTCCATCTGTCTGATTTTATAACAGTGGGTACAGCAAAGTAACAAATTGGGCCAGATTAGTAGACAGGCGTATTTCCGCATACGATGCTTTGTAATAGTCAAAAGAAAATGCCATATTAGCCTGTTATTGTAACTCAGACTAGATCCTCTTCTTCGGATTCCTACAAGTCAGTTCAGTTCCTTCCCCAAAAGAGCCTAAAATAACACCTCACAATGATAAGAAATATACATCATTACGATCGAGTCCCGTCTTTTTGAGCGGGCCTTTTATTTGTCAAAATCCAACAACCCCCCCCCCCCCATCTCCACAGTCATTGCTGCCTCGAAGAAAACGAGGGAGCTTCCGTTGAGGACCTCGCCTACCTTTTATTAATGGACTAGGAACGAAGGTGGCATAGGTTATTATTAATCACAGCAGGCCTCCTCCTGCCGCGGCCCTGGATCCTTGCCTGTCTATTAAGCAGCCCCTCGCCTCACCCCCCCCCCACTTCCTTTTAAAAGATCGGCTTTTTTTTTAACAGCTACCCTTCGAGGGTGATGGACCGGTGGGTGGGGGCTGACGGGCAGGGTGGAGCCGAGGGAGCCTCCCGTTTCGACGACACCTGACCGCCTGCCCTCCTTATCTCTCACGGCCGGCTTCCTCACCGACAACTTTCCAAGGAGGGAGAGAGAAAGCTGAGGCGCTTCCAAATTCAAGCCGAGCCGACGCCCGGCTCCGCTCAGCCTGTGCCGCCCGCCATCTTCGATTGCCCGAAATACAACGCTCGACCGCGACGCGTTGCATTTTGGGTAGCCTGAACAGCAGGGAGAGGCGGGCTGCGTTCCAGATGTACCGGGTGGTCGTAGCTCGGGTGAGACCGGGAGGCAACTCCTGCGGCTGACCTAAATCTGTACCCATATTCGAAATGGGACAATAGAGGCAGACCTCCACTTGCAACGGTTTATTTAGTGACCGTTCGACGTTACAACGGTGCTGAAAAAAGTGACTTGTCACCATTCTTCACACTTACGACCGTTGCGACATCCCCACGGTCACGTGATTTACATTTGGATGCTCGACAATTGATTCATATTTAGGACGCAGTGTCCTGGGGTCCCGTGTTTCCCCTTTGGCAACCTTCGGGGAAGCCAGGGCCATTTAACAACCATGTTACTTATTTGACAACTGCAGGGATTCACTTAACACAGGTGGCAAGAAAAGCCGTAAAATGGGGCAAAACCCACTTAACCAGTTTCTCACTTAGCAACATAAATTCTGGGCTCCATTGTGGTTGCAAATCAAGGATTACCTGTATTTTCCCAGGGTGAAGGTTTAGATCAGATTTCTCCAATCTGGAGGTTTTGGATTACAGCAACCACCATTGATGGGAAAACAATGGGGGATTTAGTATGCATCATTTCAAAGACTTTAAATTGAGGAAGCCTAATTTAGGCATTGGTCCATCTATCCAGTATTGTGTTCCAATGTATTACGCTGATGCTAAATTCTGTCTGGAGTTTGTTTCACTGCGGTTACAGAATTGAACTGTGATGTGCATTGAGTACTGAATTTTAGCTCTGTGCTGAAGAATTCAGATGCTTAATCTTTGCATGAACGTGGGTGTCTCCTGGATCCATTCTTGGAAGTCCTGAAACAATTACAGTTTAATCCTGAATTCCTGACCGGCTCAAGGTTGATTCAGGCTTCCATCCTTCCAAGGTCAGTAAAATGAGGACCCAGATTGTTGCAGCCAATATGCTTACTCTGTAAACCATATAGAAAGGGCTGTGAAATACTGTGACGTTGTACATAAGTCTAAACGCTATTGCTATCATCAGAATTCCCAACCATTAGTATCCTGGGCTATAGAATCAAGATCATGTGAAATATTAGTGCTACTTTATAAAAGCTTAGTAAGACCACACCTGGAATGCTGCAACCAATTTTGGTCACCATAGTACAAAAAAGATGTTGAGACTTTGGAAAAAGTTCAAAGCACAACTAAGATGATCAAAGGCCTGGAGACTAAACCATATGATGAACAGCTGCAGGTTTTGCATTTGGCTAGTCAAAAGAAAAGAAGAATTAAGGGTGACTGATAGCAGTATTCCAGTGTTTGAGGGGCTGCCACAAAGTAGAGGGGGTCAAATTATTTTTCAAAGCACTGGAGGGCAGGACAAGAAACAATGGTTGGAAACTAATCAAAGAGAGACGCAATCTGGAATTAAGGAGAAGCTTCCTAACAGTGAGGACAATTAGTGGAACAGCTTGCCTTTAGAAATTGTGGGCACTGCATCACGAGTTTTTAAAGAAGAGACTAGACAGTCACTTGTCTGAAATAGTATAGTTTGAGAAGGGGCTGGACTAGAAGACCTCCAAGATCCCTTCCAGCTCTATTTTATTCAAATAATTGTTTGTTTTTCTTTTAACAACTCTTGCATCAGGATGGACAGGGGCAACTGAATTTTTATTTCATCTATAATAGCTTCAGGTTCTTCACCCTTGTTCAAACATGAAGTACTTCCAAAAGGGAAGAAGGTCATGAATTTTCAAATATTAATGAGATCTATATAAGTAAACAGAGACATCTGTCAAGGTTTCCACACATCAATCGTGAATTAATTTTTCCTAAGCTCAAGGCCAAAAGAATCAAATTGTCCATTTCACTGTACATGAAGCTCTTATGTTTAGTCAGTAGCGTATCACCAATCTCTCAAAGAAGTATTATCTTAGAGATAACAAATGTTTGTTAATACATTTTAAAAGACTGTTTTGAATGTTTAATATTTTTTTTTGGAATATAAAGGGCTTTGGACAATCAACTCAAAAGTAAATGCATAATCCCAAAGAACAAGCAAGAAAATGGACAAAATAGCAAACTTGGGTTGAGATGCCAAGATGGATGTAAACCTAAAGTCTCAGGAACATTCAAGAACATGGAAATGACTGAAAAGACTAGCAAATACAGTAAAAGCAAATACTCTACACTCAGGGCTTTGTAATCATCCTGGATCATCTCTTAGAGTGAACTCATTGGGAGGCTTAAACCATCTGCTGTTGTAGTAAAGATAAAAAACATAAAACCTAAACTTAGATATGTCAGAGGAACTTAAATGTTTGCTACCTTGAATTATTTGTAAAAATAATAAAAGCTGGATACAAAATAAGTTTATTATTTATAAAATGTATTGGTCACCCATCTTACCATAGGAAAACTCTGACTGGCTTATAGTTACATCTTAATAAAATCATAAAATGTTGAAAACCTTAACAACCAAAGAGACATGGGGAGGGTGTGGACGGAGTAGGCGGGGAGGTGGTATACTTGGGCTGATGGGACTTGCAGCATGCCTCTTTTGCTGGCACGAATAGTATGGGCCAATCCCAGTGTGGTGAGATGGTCTCTCAAGTAACCCTGGACCCATGCCATGAAGGGCTTTAAAGGTGATCACCAACACTTTGCACCTGGAAGCAGACCAGTGCAGCTCACAGAGCAGGGGGGTCACAGGGCTCTCCCAAACTATCCATTCTGTCACACTCTGCACCAGCTGTAGCTCCTGAATGCTCTTCAACAGTAGCCCCGTGTAGAGCATATTACAATATCCAGTCGTGAGATAACTAGGACTGAATGGCTGAGCATAGGGAATCCTGGTCCAGAAAAGGCTGCAACTGCCACCTGTAGAATAGAAATTAGAATAGAATAGTTGGAAGGGACCTTGGAGGTCTCCTAGTCTGCCCCCCTGGTCAAGCAGGAAACCATATACATTTCAGACAAAGGTTGTCCAATCTCTTCTTAAAAACTTCCGGTGTTGGAGTATTCACAATTTCTGAAGGCAAGTTGTTCCACTGATTAATTGTTTTCACTGTCAGGAAATTTCTTCTTAGTTCTAGGTTACTTCCCTCCTAGATGAGTTTCCATTCATTGCTTCTTGTCCTGTGCTTTGGAGAATAATAATGTTCATGTCCCTCAAGCAGTGTTGTGCCGGAGCCTCACTAGTGATAATAAAGGCAGCCACAGCTAGCTATAATGATGACAACAGGTTTATTGTGAGGTCATGATTATGTACTTGGGCACATACAAGTATGTACAGGGTGGAGTTTGTGTCACAATATACCTTTCACCCTCGCTTCCTTCAACCCCTCCCCCCTGACAATATAGGTTGCATCTTATAAAGTCAAATAATTATATACAGAGTGCATATAATATTGAGCTAACATTTTACTTTTCTTGAATGATTTTGACTTGGAGTACACCTCCATTTTAAATGTGATGATTATATTCATATTTCAGAAATAGAACAGCAATGCAGCTTTAAGCTTCTCATACACAACACACACACACATGCCGACTATTAACTAATTCCATCTGATTAAGCTTATATTAAAGTGATTAAAAACAGCTGTTTTGATAAAAAGCAAATGTTTATTCAAAAACTGAATATGCACTATTAAAGACTCGGGGACTTTATTTAAAATGGAAACACTGATTCTTATAGCCAAAGATAACAGCTAGGGCAAGAAAAGAATGTTCAGTATTTGGCCAAAAGAAGGATATGATAGACTGGGAATTTATGTGCAAATCTTAAAGGAATTATTTGGTGTAAATAATTTTAACTTCAAATACATGGACTTCAGGAGAGAAACTTTGTTTGATACTAGTAAGATAGGCCAGTAGGAAAATCTATGATATAACCAAGGTGGCTGTTACTGTACTGGAGCTTTCATGAATGCTATATACAACTAGTCCTCATTTACTTTGTTTAACAAAGTATTTGCTAAGTAAAACTGCAACTATGCTTTATAGTCCTCAGTTTACAACTGTTTGCTTAATGATGATTGAACTAATGACAGCCTCTGTAAACATCAGTTATGACCTAAATTCAAACTTATAACCACTCTATCCCCACAGTCACATGACTGCAAATTTGGGCACTTGGCAACTTACTGGCTTGCACTTATGACTGCTTGCAGTATCCTACAGTCACATAACTGTCATTTGTAGCGCTTTTTTTCTGGTTTCCAGCAAAAAGAAAAAAACACAAACCTGGATACACACTTATGACTTGACTTACGACCATAGTAAAATGGTCATAAAATCAGATATAGTCATATGATGACTTGGCAAGTGCAACGGTCAGCAACTTTTGACAGAAATTCTATTCCCAATTGTGATCATAAGTCGAGCACTACCTATACTTCAGCTTCCCTTTGCTTTACAAATCTGTGAAGGTCATAAAATCATAGGTTGGCTCCAAAGTTACTTTTTCATCACCATCCTAACTCTGAACAGTCGCTGTCCGAGGTAGCCACTAAACAAGGACTACCTGTAGTTTCACTTTACTATTCGTTCAACAATAATACAATGGATTAAGAGAAAATACTGTAAAATAACATTATTTTTTAATTAATATTTCTTATTAAACTTGTTGAAGTATAAAATACAAATGAAATTGAAAATACCAGGAAAATGGGGGAGGGAAAAGAGGAAAGAAAGGTAGGGTAAAGAG